GAAATCCATTCCAGCACAATCCATTCCAAAAGGGGCATGACGAGAAACGCCGTGCCCCGTACGCTATACGTGACATGTGGAAAGACGGCGGCGATGACGGTTATGGTGGAAAAATGCGAAAGGAGGACGAGGCGATGGATGGACAGGAGGTAGGGGCAGACAAGTCGGTGGTGCAGCCAATTACACAGAAACGAGCACTGAGACTAATAGTTTTATTTGCAGTGCGGTTGGAAACCGGGTCGTGGAAATGGGCGAAATCCGTTTTCGACCACCAGCCAACAACAGCCCCAATCAGTACAAGGGACGTGAACCAAGGGATTCAGGTGGGTAATATTTTACTTTTCTTTATGGAAAGTGTTTTCTCCAGCTTTTCGTGAAGTCAAACAGCGCTAGTTGCTAGCCGCACCCCAGAATTTATGTCAACCTTGAAAAAACCTACTTTTCAGAGCAGCGTGAGAAGTTCCGTAAACCAGCACCTCAGTGTCCACAGTGGGAAGATCGCCACCATCGCGTCAACAACAATTGTCCACTATGGCATCCCTACAAGATGTGCTTGTGAGTGCGCTTTTTTTTACAATAATAATCACTAGGGCAAATTCATGAGCTTTAGCGGGCAGCCTTCACAAAAATTCTCTTCCTTGATATCCTCACGAAATAGGGTGGACTTACTGTAATGGCAGTACAGAGGCAGTCTGTGCCCCTGTTCTAGGACACAATCTGCCTCAGTACTGTCTCTGGTTACGCTGATCCTTGGCTCTTCTACCTTTGGGAATGTCATTGCAATTTCTTTGATATTCTACCACAACCGAACCTAAAGCACTCATTCAATTGGAAATGGCATGAAATACCTGTCGTAAGACTTCTTGGGGTTTCGTATGTGTGCAATACGTTCTACTTCTGCCCAGCACTGTAAGGAATTTTGACTACTAGTACGCCATATCGTGTTTTTGAGGTGAACAACTTTAACAGTGGAAGTGAGAGGTGCCGTTTGGCGCTACTCACTAACCAAAGCGCACGCTCCGAAGATCATCTTGACGCGTACCCCACCCAGGCCAACAGCCATCCATCCCCATGGGGTCCGTTAATTGATAGCCTGGGACGATAAGAACACTGATTCGCAGAAAATCATTGTAATGGAAAAATCGCTTTTTAAAGGCCATTACGATTCTGAGCGGGGTTGAATGCGTAGCGCATTCCAAAAGGGATTGGTCAACGTTGTCCCTTGTTATCCTCAATTCTTGTGTTACAATTTGCTCTTCGCAGTATTGCCACTACCAGGAAAATGCGAGCGCGAGGGTCAGATATGCTGTTAGACTTATTGGCGGGATTGCCTCAAAGCGCTCACAACTTATCGCTCTGCCTGACCTGGGACGGTAGTAAAGTGCCATAGA